AACTGCTATAAAATCAGATACTGATACTGACCCATGAGGATGCGGACTGGCGTTTTGGAGATGAACTTGTTAAAAATCTGAGAGAGGATTGTGCCCATAGCGGTTCACTTCAGAAGTCTTCAAAATATTAAAGAAAAATAAATAACAAATCTCCGGCAAGTGGTTAAAATCCGCTCTGTGGTGCGCTGTCCTCGTGTTGGTCGGTGCGTTTGGAGTCCACCTGTCTCCTCTCGTCTTTTATGGCCCCGGAGCGGAGCGCGTGCCAGCTGGTTTTGGGCACGCTGTCCGGAGTCTGTCATTTCACTCCACGTGGAACAAAACGTAAACACACCCGCAAGCGGAAATCACGCGATGGATCTTCACAATAAAAGCGCTGTTTGAACCAAGTAAAAGAATGGATATTATAATTTGTATATAGGAGACAGTTACATTTGTGTTCTTTAAGCTCAGTTGAAGTGCCTTGTTAAAGGGTGCAACGGCATTCTGAGGTTAGTGGAGGTTAAACCAACAACCTTTTAGGCCAACTCTCAGTCTAGTCCTTTCTTTTATTAGATGTGGTTCCATGTTATGTTATTTCAACTACAAAATCTAAATAAATGTGGACGCTCACTACAGAGGGAAAGCCATGGATCTATTAAAGTAACCCCCTAGCCCAGGGGTGTCAGACATATGGCCTGGGGGCCGGATCCGGCCCTCCCAGACCTTTAATGTGGCCCTCGGCTGGTTTTCTACAAAAATATTTTAATTATATTTTCTATTAAATATTGGTAATTTTCTGTGTGGCTGAGCACAGCAGTGTCTCCAGCGTCTCTGTACGTGGCCCCTCCCACCAGAGCAGCACAAATGAAGACTTGTCTCTTTCCAAACGCTCTTAAAGGACGATCCTTTTGACTGTTGACCGTGACACCCTCATCAACAAAATGTCCAAAATGAGAAAAGCGGACGCCGAGTGCAGGATTTTCTAAAAAAAAAAAAAAAAAAAAAAAATGGACGTATTCCTTTTTGCATACAAGTTAATGTTAAAACATTGTGTTGAAATTGCATTTTTCTTAAAGTTTCAGGTTGTTCATAATATTATAATATTTTGTAAAAGAAAGAGTTCATCAATTAAAAAAGATTTCTGTAATAGATTTGTGTTTCTCTGCACAAATATTTGAACTTATTGTTATTTTTGGGGTTTATATGCCATGAGTTTTGTGATCCGGCTCATTTGGGATCAAAGTAGGTTGGATACGGCCCCCGGACCAAAATGAGTTTGACACCCCTGAAATAGCCCCTAGAGGCTAATCTAGAGCTCAGCCCACTGACTTGAGTGGGCGGCCATGTTTAGGCCCCAAGACCAGGGCTTAGAGAAATCCTTTAAGATTGATAAGGCATTTTTTCCCAAAGACTGGGTCGTGACCCTCAGGTGGATCGCAAGATATTTTATATTATTTTTTTGCATGTAGGTCTGTGATATACAGTTCTGACACATGAGATTTTCTGTGCTCACAAAAAGAAGACAAAGCACAGAAATAGAATGAATACTGGAACACAGACAGGCCCACCTATCTCATAAGAAATGTTGAAATGTTAAGACATGTTTTGTATCATTTCTAATCTTTTTGTAATTATTTTATTGACTATTTTGTTCCAGTATTGCTGGTTCAGTTGAATGTTGAAAAATAAAAGAAATGGATTACATCTAATGTCCAAATAGGTAACTTATGGATCTCTTTTATTGCTGGCTCAGTTACTGTTTGTCATTGTTTAAAACTTGAGTAATACTAATTGTTCAGAGAGATAATAAAATATCCTCATTAATGTTCAATAATGATCAAATCCACCTTTCCAATGTCTATTGACTTGGATCGCGAAGGTCTGAGACTTTAAAATATGGGTCCCCAGAAAAAAGGGGGAAAAAGCGAACCACTGAGTTAAGGTTTGTAATCTTCTGGAGGTGCAGGATTCCATGGAAATAAAAAGTTAAAACCATTGTCCATTTCCCATGGAGATACATACTCTATGTGTTATTCTTTTGTGTTTTGTGTATCTTTGGTCTAAAAGTTACATACTGTGGATTTTGCCCCACAATGGAAATTTTGTGGTTTTGCAAAACTAATGTTTGGGAAGTTCCTTGTTGTTTGTCTCCACGCAGGAGCCTTTTGCTCAGTACATCTGCAACAGGAAATCACTTCAAAATAAAAGCCTAGCGAAAAACGAAAATTAATGACTACCAGGAAGGTTAAACTCAGAGACTGTATAAGGGCCGTGTTCTGTGGAACAGTCTACCACCCACAGTTAGAGACTCCCCCAGCTTCACTACTTATAAAGGCCATTTAAAGACATGGCTCAGGTTAACACAGGTGTGTGATCTTTTACTATAGTTTACAATGTGCAATGGGCAATGTGCAATATACTATTTATTAATTAAGTATTTTAATACTTTACTTATGGGCAATATGCAATATACTAAAGAATTTTACCTTTGAGGGCACATGCAATACATTGTAAAATAGCACTTTATAAACCGGGTTATTTAGCAATCTCACCTTGCACTTTTTCTTTTTTTAGGGTTGTGCAAAGTATTATAATAATTTTAGCAATGGGCTGTGTGCAATACTTATACACTGGCACCTTAACTAAACAGGGCAGCATGCAATTTTGATCAAATAATCCCACATCCTTTAGTTGACCTGTGTCTGTGATCTTGTGACTGACCAGCTCTTTATGTCTGTCTATTTGTGTTATTGTATTGTCTGTGTGGGCGTATTGTTTTTACTGTGTGTATTTGCTTTATGATTATCAACCTGTCTAGGGACAGCAGATGGGAATTAGCCTTGGGCTACAATCTGATAACATATTTACATATCATGTATATGTAAATATGTGACCCGGCCCCGGATAAGTGGAAGAAAATGGATGGATGGATGTATATGTTCATTAATGTGTTTTGCCCCTATTTCAAATAAATAAATAAATAAAGAAGTATGAATAGTATTGTACAATATTTATATATACAGAATATGGTTAAATTTGAAACTAAGATTTGGTATTGCACACAGGAGAGTGGTGAAGAAAGTAAAGTTGGTACTGTTGTCGGAAAATAAACAAAAACAAAAAAGCCCAAATTTGAAACAGTAGAAGAAAGTAACTACAGTAAATACATATTTTCTGATTTAGCTGAAGCAAATAGGGAAAATTACAGGTCAGAACAATGTTAGCCCACCTGCTATAACATAATGTTGGCCTACGTATTGCATCTTGGAAAATTGGAAGAAATCCTTCAGAAATTCTTCAGAACTGAAAACACTACAGAGAGGGAGCTGAGGCTGAGGCAGAGCTGGTTAGGTTTCATATTTGTAATTCTCTAATAATTTTTACAGTAGGTCACATGACCATGACATGAGGAAGTAGCAGTGACTATAAACAAACAGCCACACGAATAGAGTACAGACCTTTGATCTGCTGTAGAGAAAGTATATACTAATCACAGTAGTAGTGATAATTGTAATACTCTTCCATAGAAGTACAAAGATGAAGATACTGTACTGCATCTGCATTGTGGCCAGTCTGCTGGGAGAAGCATGGACCACTACTAAAAGCACGACTACAACCACGGCTACAACCACTACCACATATCCTTTCACTCCTGGTAAGATTCAAGACATGCAGGCTGGTTTTTATTTTATTTTATATTAAATCATACCAATTATGCCAAAAGACTGGTTCATTTTACAATGCACTTATTTGACAGAAGCCAATGTGAGAATTCATTTGTCTACAAACTAATCACACAGAGAAAGGGCAGAGGCTCCAATCTGTGTAAAATGGTTCAAACTGGGAGTGTGCTTACCCTTGTAAAGTGTGCGTCATTTAGTATCCATCTATAATCTGAAGTAAACACTGCACTACAATAATAATGAATCAAAGCTGTCTTTCATGTCTCCTGCTCTGCTTCTGTGCTCATTCTTGTGTTGGTTCAGTATAAAATTCCATTAAAAGAGAAATATGTGTTCAAAAGCAGACTCACATCACAATAGTTTATCTGCGCTAGTTTTGGTTAAGTTCTGGTGTAGTCCTAATTTAGTCCTGCCATAGAATATAAAGTTTGTGAGTCCAGTTTTAGTTCTGCTTGAAAGAGGATGAACAGGTTTGGGAATATAACTGAAAATCAAGCACTGGGTCTGGGAAAGGGATGTACTGTAACCCAAAATAACGCAGAATAAAATTATGTGAGTCAGTATAGTCACATTTTCTTTGTCTTTTGGTCATTTTTAAGCAGCTTTATAGCTATATTTTGCTTAAACAAATGACAATTTATGCCTCTCTTTATTGTTGGCAGGTATCAGATTTGTCAAAAATAGGGACACCTGGGACATTTCTTGTATAAAACTGGGACATGTCACTGGTTTTGGATAAATCCGCTGGGAAAGGGGACACAGGGCTCAAAACTGGGACTGTCCCGGGTAAATAGGGATGTCTGGTCACCTTAAGCTAAATAAGCACTGCTCTGTCTGAGGCTTTGTTAGACTTTAATTTAAACTCATTTATTTTAACACAGTCTGACCAGAAAGAGCTGATTAGCCAACAGTTTTTCAGTTAGTTCACTCTCACTTTTTTTTAAAATTGAAAATCAAACTCCTAAACAGGACCTTGAATACACCTGAAAGGCTCCTGAAAATGTGTCGTCTAAATCCTTTTTGTATAACCTTTTGAGTTTTATCTTAAAACTTCTAATGTGTTAAATGTGTCTCCATGGTAACTGCTGAACATTCCACCACAGAGATACAGGTAGAGCACCTTCAGCGTGATGTCCCTGCAAAAGTATCAGTTGTTGTTTCTGGTCTGCAGATACAAACAACTGTGACACAAATAACAATTCATACTAATGTGATTTGAGTTTTTCTTATTACACATTTTGTTGGTTACTATAGTTGAAAATGTGTTTTGTTTAGTTTTTTCTTGAATTCTGGCTCATTTACTAAATCAACACCAATATTTCCCATGCCAAAAGGTCAAACAAGATTGTCTAGTTTACATGTAGATTTTAATTTTAAATCAAATGAATAATGAAAAATGAAAAACAAATCCAGAATGACATGTCTCTACAGATCAGTATCAGTCTAGTCTCCACGCCCTTTGCCACGTCTCCCTTATGTAATCATCTGTTTAGATTTGGGCTTCTTTTGTGAATTTCTTATTTCTTATTTATTTATTTGTAAAGGGACAGCACATATTAATGAACAATAAAAATATAAATATGTAAAGATTATAGCCAGCGTGGCTAATTTCCACCTTCAGTTGCTCGGCAGGTTGATGTGAAATCATCTACAGGAAAGAGGAAAGTACAGCAACAATCACACAAAAGTACATAAAACCAGCACACCCAAAGTACATACAAATTAATTTCAAACTGTTAATCTGAAGTCCAGAGTCAAGAGTTTAAGAGTTAAACCAACAACCCTTCAGTATAAAAGAAAATGTAATTTGGTTAAACATGGTGACATATTTGGCCGCCGAATGTCAGTGTTTTAAAGCTTTAGAACAGGCATGTCTAAACTATGGCACTTCCAGGTGAAATGGCCCAAATTACCTTGCATCAAATAAAAATATTTTTTTTACTGAAAATCAAATTAATTAAATCTAAATTAATATTTAGTGTGTGGTTTTAAGGATCTTAGCATGAATAAAGGACTGATGGCTCATTCTAACGTGTTAAACATGCACATATTTCATTTATTCACTGTGCTGAGCTGCAGTCTACGGCCCTCGATCGGCCCTCTGCTTCATCTGTGTTTAGATATGTGGCCATTGATGAAAAAAGTTTGGACACCCCTGCTTTAGAAAATACTGCAGTGTTGAAAGTTCTCGTACATGAGCAGGCACTGAATTCCGTGTTTGACCTACTCGATAAGCAAAAGCGAGCTGTCCAAAAGTACTTTTCCTGAACGCAACAGGGCAGAAGGAGCTCACTGGTCAATTATGACTTACAAATAAAATCAGTTTTTGTTTTGTTTAGTGCTTTGCTCATTGATTATGAAGTACTGAAGAAATGTGTATCATGGATCCAGGGCAGATAAAAAACAATGAAAATTAGTGTACTGGAAAAAGAAAACCCATGCTTTTATGTGTAGTCTCACTTTAGAACAGCTGATGTAATTTTACTAGTACAACAAACCTGCACTTAATCTTTATTGTGTTTGCAGATGGTCCAGGAGAGAATCTGAAAGGGAAGATGGTCACTCTGACTCAGTACTCAGGGATTACTTTTTATCCCCAGTACTACCACTCTGCTCCTAGAACCACTGCTCCTACTACCACAACTACTGCTAAATATACCACTACAGCTAAAGCTACTAATACTAAACCTACTACTACTATACCTACTACTACTACTACTACTAAATCTACTACTACTACTACTACTACTACTAAAGCTACTACTACTACTAAACCTACTACTACTACTAAACCTACTACTACTACTACTACACGTAGAACTACAACGACACGACCCACTCCTGCCAAAGGAGGTAAGTAGTTTGGTACATTTTATACAATACTAAAAGTACAAAATGTATCTGACCAATCCAGTTCTACTTTAGACATGGTGTTTGTTGTGCCTTGGTTTATATTACTTTATTTAGCTCAGGTTAATCAAGAGCTGATGGAGTCCAGGTATGGTCTTGGTTGAGTTCGGGTTTAGTCCTGGTTTAGGGTGTGTTCAGACTTCACGAAGGGCCCATACTTTCTGATCTGTTATAATGTTATTTCTTTATCATAAATATACTTGGAGTCCTGCGTATTAAGGCTGAGTTCTTATCTCAAACTGAAAATACCCTATTCCACCTATACAGGAGATGTAGACAGACTAATCATGTAGGATGACTCAAATGTGTGTGAATGAAGAAAACACAACTCTGTGTATGTTTTTGATGACATGGCTTAAAGCTCATAAGAATCCATTCTGTCTAATATGGGACCTTTAAGCCCAGTTAATTTCTGATGTAGACATGGTTTGGTCCTGTTCTATTCTGACTTTAGTCCTGGTCCAGAGTTTAGTCCCAGTTAAGTTTTGATTGTGGTTTATGTGCACATGTGAATGCACCCTTAGGCTTGGGCCAGATCAGATCTATTCTTGGTAGATACGTTTGGGATGGGTCCAAGTTCATGGCATAAAAGCTCCTACCCATAGACTTCGTCCATTAAGCCTTGCTATTTTTGACAAACAACTAATCTCACATTTATTGAGATTAGTTGATTAGTGATTCATCTCCACACTGATTGAGCAGTGAGGAAGTGACTAAACAAGTGATCCTCAAGCTGTATGAGGAGGGTGTATTTGAACATGCCTCTGTCTACTTTTGGTACTCCAATAATACACACTGTAGACTGTATAAAGAAGTGGACTAAGAGCGCAAGATGTCACCCATAGCGTTCAGCTCCAGTCAAATGAAGCTCACCGTGGCTAGCAATTGTTCGAGGAGCAAATTTGGAGCTGAATTCACTATTAGGCATAGGAAATAAAAACATCAGGGTCATATAGAGCGGGTTAATACAAAATAAGACCAAAATGTCGAGGCTCACAACAGCAGTTACAGAGAGAGGGGTGAAAATGTAAAATCAGCTGAAGACAGAGTCAGTGGAGCTGGAAGCGCCCCCATGCTCACTTCCTGTTTGGAAAGCAATGGCTAGTGGGTTAACTTTGTCCCTTTATATTTACCGTGTATATATACTGAGAAAGTAGTCACAAAAAAGAGAAGCAGGGTATTTCACTTGGTTCAGGTTATTTTATTTTAGAATCTGATGTCAGATTTTCAGATGGAGGACAGGGGCCTATATAACTCAAAGGCAGATTCACTGTTTTTGAAAAAACAACCATTGGATAGGCTTCATAAACTTTCCATTTTAAACTCACAGGTTAAAGTCATGTAAACTGACAATCACTGAGATGTTGGTTGTCTCCCCTGCAGGTGTGACGGTGTGCCTGCGCTTCTTGGCAGACTCCAACTCTTTCAATTTGTTCAAACTGGCTCCTAACTCTCCTCTGACGGTCTCGTGGAATTTTCCATCATGGTACACTCTGTCCGTGAACTACTACTCCTCAGTCACTCTGAGGGCCACGATCTCCCTCTGGTCCTCGGTCCGGACCCAGCCCTGGACCAGTGTTTGTGTGGTCCTGGACTCTTTCAAAAATGTAGTCCAAGTCTTTGAGGGAGGATACATGAGCATCAGGAAGATCCCGCCATCTCGAGTAAGTCTGAAGTCCACTATCTTTGGGTGAATGCACTCTGGACATGGAAACAGAGTTTAAGGGTTGTCTGACAATCCCCGTGGCATTCAGTCGGTGGGACCTGCCCGGAACATCTCCCCCAGGAGGCTCCAGGAGGTGTCCGACACAGATGCCCGAGCATCAGCTGCTCTTACCACATGGAGGAGGAGGATCACTAAGGCAGTGTCCAGCCACTCTGTGGAGGAAACTCACTTTGACCCCTTGTAGGTTTTTATATAAGTGCAGTCAAACCCTGACTGCACCTATAAATTCTGTCCTTCAAAACAGTTAACAGAAGCCGTGACAAAGGACAGCCCTGACGGAGTCCAACATGCACTGGGAACAGGTCTGAGTCCTGCCCCAGTCATACAAGGACTGGACAGCCCTCAGGAAAGGACCCCAGACCCAGTACTCCCAGAGCAACCCCCAGAGCACACCAAGAGAGGCACGATCAAATGCATTCTCCAGATCCACAAAGCACATGTGGACTTGTTGGGCAAACTGAGCCCTCGAGTACCCAAAGGAGAGTACAGAGCTCTAGTTCCTGGAATAGGCCTTACCGGGGGCTAAGGTCACCTAGGATCTGTTTGCCGTGAAGCCCCATCGACATAGATATTTGTACTGCTGGTTTTGCACTGTTGTTGAGATACTAATGTGACTAAATTTAGTATTTGTGTGTGTTTTCTTCTAGACTGTTATTCTACAGTGTTTCTCTGTGTTATAGATGGTGTGGTCGGGGGAGCCTGTGGTGGACGTGTCAGGGTTTGATGGTCAGGTGACAGACCTGGAGGTGTGGGATTATCCTCTGGGATACGCAGAGGTCTTCAGCTACATGCAAAACTACAGGTGAGACAGAGGCCAGAGGAGAAAAACATCTACAACCTAATATCTGTTGTTTCTTGGAACACATGCAAAATTATATTTTAATTAGTGCACTTTTAATGTGTTATTTTATTTTATTATTATTTTTGTATGTTCTCTTATTTGTTTCTTAGGTCTAGTGGGACAGTTTTGACCTGGTCCAAGATCGCATACAGCTACAGAGGGAGCATCCTGTTTGAGGACAACTACTCCGGACAACAGAGGCAACCAATCAACAGGAGTGACAGACAAGAGCAGCCAATCAAAATAGAGAATGAGCGGAGCCAAAGACTTAAATACAGGAAGATGTTTGGTGCAAAGAAACAGAGCAGAAGACAGATGTTCTGAACCATTATAAAATAGAGGTCAAATATATAAGTCTCAAATTTAAAATATTATCTTTTAGTGTTATTGATTTGTGTTAGAAAACATTGATCTCCAGTGTGTAACAAATTTGCATATATTTTAATCATACAATTCATCGTGTTTTTAACTTCTAAATAAAAAAATACAACTGTTCATTTATGACTTTGTTTACTAGTGGTGATGCTTACATGTGAGTGTGAGTGATTGGTGAAGTCTGGAGAGGTTGCTGGTGCATATGTGTATAAATGGTCACAAATTAAATTAGTATTTCAGTTGAACATGTTTACATAAATAACGTTTATGAAGTGTGTGTGTGTGTGTGTGTGCGTGTGTGTGCGTGTGTGTGCGTGTGTGCGTGTGTGTATTAGAAGTGGGTAGAGTAGCTGAAAACTATAAAGTAAAGCCACATCAAATTAATATTACTTAAATAGAAATACATAGTGGTCCAAGAAATTACTCAAGTAAGAGTAAAAAAATATTTGGGAAAAGTACTAGTAACTTAAATTGTCGGGAAATAACATTTGATTTATAGTTTAAAGTACCAGTAAATGCAATTAGAATTAAGGAAAAATCTAACAGAGACAAAAATTAGAAAAACAAAATCATATCTGAAACACAAATGTTTACTTAATTTCAAATTGTCACATGAAACTTTTGTCAGATTTACTCACAGTGGGAAGAGTCACAACCTTTTTGACTCAAATAAGAGTACTGTTACTTCAATAAAACATATGACTCAAGTAGGAGTAAAGGTATACTGCTAAAGAAGTTGTCAGCAAAGTACAATTTCTTAAAAAAGGTACTGACTGCTGCATTGGGGCAGACATGTGCATAGATGTGGGTGGGTACTACATAGTCTGACCTAAAATCTGTACACACACACACACTCAATAGGACTTGCCTCTGGTCTTCCCACTTTCTCCTGTACAGAAATATTTATGTTTTGTCTCTAAGGCTACGTTCAGACTGCAGGGCTTAATGCTCAGTTCAGATTTTTTTGTGAAATCCGATGTTTTTGCGAGGTCGTTCACATTTCCAATTAAATGCGACTTGTATGCGATCCCCTGTGTGAACGTTAAACGGCCCGAAAGTGTCCCGCATGTGCACTGGAGGACATGATGACGTCAACCACAGCGAGCGTGCTCTGTGTTTATGGAAGTTGTCCAAACATGGAAGCGAGCATTGAGCACCTGGAGATTTTAAAACTTCCTCTCGTACCGGTGCCCGAACATGAACAACTTACTTGTTTTAAGGAGGAGATTGAGAAGGAGAAGGATGAGGTTTTTGGCTCTGGCGTTTTGTGGGACAGTCCGTTGAAAGGAACGTGTGTATGTGGAGATGTAGCCAAGAGTGGTGAGTGGTGATGCGCTTCACTTCAGTTCATTAACAATTTTCACCTGCTTCAGCACAGAATAGTGACGTTTGTGGCTTGTTGATAACGCGTAGGTCGAATGAATGCGCTTTGGCTGTTCACACTGAAGGCGCATGTCAAAAGATCGGATATGTATCAGTTTCAGGACCACATATCCAAGTGGCATGGGTCGCATTTGAAAAAATTGAATCTGTGTTGTTCAGACTGTCATTAAAAGATCAGATACAGGTCACATAGGGGCCAAAAAATCGGATTTGGGTCACTTCAGGCTGCAGTCTGAACGCAGCCTACATGTTCTATCATTTGTTACTTAAGGCCACCACACACTACAGGATTTTTTGGTCTTAAACTATTTTTAAATGTGTGACAAAAAGCACACACCACAGGCACGAGGAGAATCTTGTGAGATTTTAAATCTCCAGTCGCTGCGGGATATGTCTGCTGACCACAGGCTATAAAGTTGGGAGCGCGATCATGTCTGCTGTTTCCTGTCTACAGTAAAACCACTCGCTTTGAGACTCTTAGGTGTTCAAAGATCTAAGCACTACACTTTTAGTTTAGATACACGTCAAATCAGTGTTATTATTTGTGAAATGTGGTGCAATACTTCAGATACATGATTTTTAAAGCATAAGATTGGCAATAAAGTCCACAAGAAGTAAAGTCTCGATCGCCTAATCTGCGGCTTCACCTCGATCCGTGCGCCGTGTGGATGTAAACAAACACACTTGAGGAACTACTCTCACCTTTTTACTTTGAGAGAACACCTCAAACTGGATTAACAGCGCTGTTTTGTGGACTGGGGTCATTATTTGCGTAGGTCAATTTCTATGGATAATGTGGATGATATGCTGCACTTTAAATTTACCACTTTAAACGAGGTGAGTAATAAAGTCATCATTATTTTCTCTATATCCCAGTTTGTATCTTGTGTCTGTCACTCTGCCCCTGACGCTCTGTTTTTTTTGGCTGTTACAGTAGCGTGGCTGATGTTTGGTGGTTATAATATGACAGTGCAGCTCAGAGTCACACTAAGACACACAGTCAACCAAAGGGCCTATGTGACCTGGGAGCTGTACAGTACCCAGGTCTGCAATAGAGGGACAGAGGAGCTCCTTCTCCAACAGGCTCTTACAGCTCCACTCTGACAGTGAGAGATACAGGACTACATCCATATTCCATACAACTGTACAACATAACAGATAACCCTATGTCCTGTCAATCTCTTTATGACCACTTGTATGTAGCTGAGACATATATATGCATTACTAAATTTCTACATTTTTTATTTTATTTTCCCTTGTGGATCAATAAAGTTTGTATAAATCTAAATCTAATGTGGAAATTAAATAAAATTGAATCAAATCTCCTTCGCGCTTTCTTCCCCTACCTTTGGCCAGTCAGTACTGCACCACTGAAGCAAACACAGAGTAAGAGCTTGGATTAAAATTTAAAGCTCTACAAACAAAACATCCCTGTGGAGCTCTGGAAGAGGCATTCAACTGCATGAGGCAAGAAACAGCCAAGGAAATATTACACGTGTTTGGATGTGTTCAACAGTTTTTATTAGCAAAAGCATAACATTCTAATGCTAAAACAGTCCTACTAATTTACTACGCACACCTGAACATCTCATAGCCCCTTGTTTGCTCTACTGCTTAATTGTTTTTAGAAATGCCATCGCTGGATTAGAGGCCAGACGAGGGAGCCTGCACGGTCCTGGAGAAGGCGTCAGACAGTAGGGGGCGTAGTGGGGTAGGCGACTAACAGATATGCCATTCTCTATCACTATCATTCACTTAAATGCATCTGCATGGCTCATCTGGGATAGAACCATCAACCTGCTGGAGAGGTGAATAAGGTACTCTACATGAGCCACTTTCACCTCGCCCGGTGTACAAACAAGAACAAAAAATGCACTGATTGGAGATCAATGTAACCGAATACAAATGAAAAACACTACAAGGTTACATTTGAAATTTGACATTTGATATTGATATTTCACAATGGTTTAGACCATTTGGTTCCTCTGTTTCTTCCCTTTCCACATCTTCCTGTATTTAAGTCTTAGGCTCCGCCCACGCCCTCTTCGGATTGGCTGCTCTTGTCTCTCGCTGTGGTTGAGTGGTTTCATCTGTCGCAGGGCGTAGGACTCTTCAATGAGGATGCGCCCTCTGTTGCTGTATGCGATGTTGGACCAGGTCAAAACTGTCCCAGACCTAAAAAAACACATCAAAGAACATTAAAAAAACAAAAACACATTTTAAGTGCATTAATCAAAATATTATAATTTAGCATGTGTTTCAAACAACAACAGATCTTATGTTATAGATGTTTTTTTCCTCTGGCCTCTGTCTCACCCGTAGTTCTGCATGTAGCTGAAGACCTCTGCGTACCCCAGAGGATAATCCCACACCTCCAAGTCTGTCACCTGACCATCAAGCCCTGACACGTCCACCACAGGCTCCCCTGACCACACTAGCTGTAACACAGAGAAACACTGTAGAATAACACATCTGTAACACAGAAATGTTCTAGTTTTGTATTTTTATTTTTTTCATCTTGTTTGAGTGTGTAAACTGTGACAGTCCATCCACACTTTCTGACTTTTCTATGACACAACATTAACATTAATACATAAAGATTTGTATATTGTTAAACAACCATTAAACTCCATGTGAAGAGTGCATTTAAGTGACAGTATGGAACTTCCTGGAGGTAGAAGTCACCTGTATGTTTCCAAGGAAATATAAAGTTAAAGTCACATATGGGAACATTCACTATGAAAATAGATACATTTTACATCATAATGTGGAATATTATAGCCAAAAAAAAAACAACATTCCTATGGAAACAAACAGGAGGAGGCCCCCCTCCAGGTCAAATAAGAGTCTGTTTTGTGTTTTAATGCTATAAAAACACCCATAATGAAAAATGATGCTTTTACTTGATGTCTATTTTTTGCTTACCCGAGATGGCGGGATCTTCCTGATGCTCATAGATCCTCCCTGGAACACTTGGACTATATTTTTGAAAGAGTCCAGGACCACACACACACTGGTCCAGGGCTGGGTCCGGACGGAGGACCAGAGGGAGATCATGACCCTCAGAGTGACTGAGGAGTAGTAGTTCCAGGACAGAGTGTACGTTGATGGGTTTCTCCACGAGACCGTCAGAGGAGAGCGAGGAGACAGTTTGAACAGGTCTAAACCGTTTAAGTCTGTCAGGAAGCGCAGGCACACCGTCACACCTGCAGGGGGAGCACAACTACTCTGGAGCATTTCATGCAAAAGAATCACATCTACACAGAATAAGTGATTGACCCCTCAGCAGAAAAGTTACACAGTGCACTTTTAAGTAAACTTGATATCAGTGAAAAAAATACAGTACAAAATACAAATTAAGGAACTGAATTAAAAAAAAAACCTTCAGTAAAAAAAACACAAAAAACCTTTTAAGTCATAACGTTTGAATAAAGTACTGACCTCGTGTGGGAGGAGGAGGAGTGGTTGTATAGTAGCGGGTTGTCCATTCAGATGACCATTCAGTTGTCCGTTCAGTTGTCCATTCAGGGCTGGTAGTTGATGCAGCGCCCTCCCCTGGTGCAGATTGGTAGTACGGCCGGCGGAAAGTCACACCTGAGTACTGAGACAACGTGACCATTTTCCCTTTAAGATTCACTCCTGGACCAACTGCAAAACAAGATGTAATACAATAAAGATGTAATATTAGAAAAAGTTATTTAACATTAAGTGTGGAGATTCTGTATTTTCGTTTCTTTTAATCAGACACTTGTAAATGAGACGTATTTACCTCTACATGTTTCGGCTGCCATTGTTAGAACTGTCACTGGTGTAGGTGGTGATGTTTCTTATACTAGTAGATGGTAAGTTGTCTGATTAAAAGAAAATATGAAGCTAACTCTCATAATTGAAGACAAAACAGATGCTTCGCTTGTAGTTTCCCAGGTAAGTTACTATGAATATGCAGAGAAGGCTTATGACTGAATAAAACTAGAAAATTGCAGGGACTTTCTCTCTCAGGATTTCATCTGGGGGACTGAAGATTCTGTTGCAACCATGTTTTCCTATTCACCTGAGCTGCCACATCTGAACAAACTTTTTAATCAGATAAAGTTTAATTAGGAAGGTTCTGGGATCGGGTCGTTAATCGAGTCTTGGCAAAAACTGTAAATTTAGACAAAAGATTTGACCTGTAACTTTGCCTGGTAGCATCATCTGTGTGTCTCCATGGTTGTAGACAAGTTTAATGTCATACTGTGGAACTTTCAAAGCCAAGCAATAGCTCCATGGAGACAGTGAGGTTGAGGACCCTCCACCAAAAAAGTTGGCACAATTAAAATATATGTCAAAATCATGTTGTGAAACTGCATTTTCACGAAGCGGATGAGTGAAACATGAAGTGGTCCATCTGGAGATTGCAGTTCCCAAAAATCAAACAAAAACTTCCCCAAAAATCTGTTTCCCTTCAATGCTCTCAGTGAACTAAACTTGACCTGATCAGGACGGGGGCTCTTCTGTGAGCTAACTCAAGTTCAAGTCTTATTTTGTCATCATTTTGGTTTGAGACTCTTAACACTGGTTTTCAATGTAAATGGGCCACATGTGGATGATCCTGGTTTCAATACTATGCAAAATTGACTCATGAGTTTTAGTCATGTTAGAATATTATGACCCCCTCAAACAGACCTGGAGTTGTGTTTTGTTTCATTCTCAAGTGTTTAAATAATCCTTTTTTAGTCTGTTACATCTCTAAAGCTCAAAATGTTGTGTTCTACTTTGTGATGTCATGAAGCTGTACTTTTTTCCTTTAGTTCGGCAGAGACTGACAGTTCTAGGGCTGAGATTATCCAAATTATTCCAGTGAAGGTGTATGGAGTTCAAAAATACATTTGAAGACTTCCTGTATTACCTCATGACATCACAAGGTGGAGTGTTTTCTGTTTGAGAGAAGCCTTTAAATATGCAGGGTTTGTGTGTTGTGTGAATGAAACAAAACACAACTCCAGGTCTGTTTATGATGAGGAAATGTTATAACAGAAATCAGAAAATAGTGTAACGTGGCCCTTAAAGTAAACAAGACAAAGTTATTCATATAAGCCCAGAGTGGTTTGCCCTGTGGGTTTCAGCCTCTTGTTATAAGCAACAGGTCTAGTATGTAACTTTTCCTTGTCTCCATGGAAATGTTTTTGCTTTACCTGGAGTTTTCCATAGCATCTTTCATGGAGCATTCGTGTTTCTATTGTGAGCGTCCCTGGGCGGAGTCACCCACTTGTCTCCATGGAGATACTTAGTCACTTTTATATATCATGGGACATTGTAGACAAGACAATAACATATTGAATGGAATAGGCATGTGGCGGAAGCTCAGCCAGAAAAGTTACATTATGCATCTTTAATCTAAGTTGTCCTGACAAAGATCTTGGTTTAGAACTGGTCCTGTCCTACCAGGACGCATCCAGTCTGCACCAGGTCTAAACCATGAAAATGTATTTTGTAACCAGTGTTGGGGAGTAACAGATTACGTGTACTGACGTTACGTAATCAAGGTACAAATTATGAGTAACTGTTTTCAGTTATAGTTACTGTTTCAATGACTGGTAATTGGATTACAGTTACTTTGCTGAAATAAATGGATTACAGGGCGGTATGTTCCTGTTTTCACATTTTGGGCTAAACCAGGTCTAAAAGCAGGACTAAAACCAGGACTAAACCAGGACTAAATAGAACTAAAACCAGGACTAAACCAGGTCTAAACAATATGTCACCTAACAGTAGGTGAACATACTTTAAGGCAGCAGTGATTTCATATAAAAATAATATCTCTATCAATAATATTTTTAATCTGGTTAAATAAAGACTGGGCTTTTGATTGTCTTTTAGCAGACAAAACATCTCATGTTAAGATCCTCATCTTTGCTTCTCTACAGCAAACAACTGCCTCTTCATGGAGACTTGGGCTCAACAGCCAATTTGAAGAGAACTAACAAGAATTTGCAGGATGTGGTTGGTACATTCATGTAGTTTTAAAAACCAAGACAATATCAAGTAATCCAAAGTATTCAGATTACGTTACTCACTATAAGTAATTTAATGGATTACGTTACAAACTACATTTTGGGGTATGTAATCTGTAATCTGTAGGGGAATACATTTTAAAAGTCACCTTCCCAACTCTGTTGGTAACATATTCTGAGTACTTAAAATACTTTCACATCGAGTTACATTTAAATGATAATATAAAAACAAACATAGGATTAAAACAATTTTATGTTTGTAGCACTGCTTGTTTAATTTTTTCACTAATTACAGAAAAAAAACAGACGCAAATTGAAGCAAATTGCGTGATCAAGTACCAAATAAATACCACTAAATGAAAAAGTAACTGTGCCGGAATAGTTAGTCAAAAGAATAGGTATTTTCTTTGGTCTTGCCTGTGGTGTAAGGGTAACGGGTGGTCCAGTACCAATCCTCCTCACAAAGCACCAGAGGAGCGCTCACGATGAACACGCAGAACAGCAACCTCATGTTTGGACTATTACGACTTCTACTAGTACTGCAACTACTACTACTCCAGAGTTCACAGACAGTACTCAAGTGAAGCACAGTTGCACAGGCAGAAGCTTTATAAAGACTCAGCAGCGGTTTTATCGCTGGCTGGTCACGTGACAGGAGTTTACTTTCACTTTCCATTTTCTGTTCATTTATACAGAAGCGAAATCTACCGCTTCTGCTTCAGACTAAACACCTGCCCATATTAGCCTAATATTTTGGAGCTATTTAAGTATTCTGTCCTTCTCATACCTCATAAAGAACATATCAGTTTTGAACAGTAAGTCAATGGACCCACTTCTATTATTACACAGATTCAAATCAGTATTGTACTATAATAACTATAATTTCCATGTGTTTATTCTAAAAAATAAATAAAAACACATGCGTTTTAAGAATTAAATTGTAAAACTCAGTATGGAACAGTATGTAAAATTTAGTTTTTCATAAACTTGATCTGTGTGTCCCCAGACACATAAACACACAGATCAAATATTGCTTTTCCTGACAATATTTCTAATGCTGATTTATATTTGGATATGTAAACATGGGACATGATGTCCCATTTATTTATGTTATAATTTGGTGTCTTGATTCTCAAGATGTTTATTCAATCACAAAGTAGAATATGTCTCACATGAGTTTCTTATTTGGGTTGCCAGTTTCAAAGCTAAAATCAAGTTGATCTGAGCCTAAAATGCCTCTCTCTGATTTAAATCCACACTACCTAAACCCCAGCACCTGCAGCCATGCACTTATGGGTCAGTGCTAGTGCAGCCTCTGAGTGTTGGTTCTGAGCTTTTCACAAGAGCTCCATATCGGTCCATATACTGAGAAAAATCTATCTGCAGATTTTTACCACACAGTACTTCTGTCACTTGTATAAAAATCCCCTGGTGTTATTTTAAGGCACAGAAAAGATACTGTCATAAACCTTTTTAATTCAGACCTGCAGTGGTCATGTGACTCTTTACACAAACATGTTTCATTCTCACATCTGGCACCTGGGTTCTTTATTATTCCATTGTGTTCTTAAATATGTAGAGAAGTATTTAATAGGTTCATAGGATATCAGAACATTTCATAAGAATCTGATGAATATCTTTTCTTCTCATGTATTTCTGAATTTTTTCTGAGGATGTTTCTATATCTGGGACAATATAATAATTTGGCCATAATATCATTACATTTCAAGGAAATCAAATTTGGACACAGTATTATGAAATTCTATACACAAGTGTAAATTTGGATGAGATGGATTTCTCTGTTTTATATTTTTTATTTTTTGTTTTATAAAGACTGCTCGTCAACAAAAACGTATGTATACATTTATAGGCCTGTATGATTTGTTTGTTAAAAAAAAAAAAAGAGCCAGTCCTTAACAAATAACAATTAAGTTCAAAATTTTGTATATTTCATTCAAAAACAGTGAATGTCCAGTAGAGTTATATTGATACTTTACAGCTGATGTCATCAACATACCCGGGGCTGTGATGCTAACTGGAGGCTCTGCTCTGTCTGAAGCTCTGTTACTCAAGTTATATTTAATCTGATCTTTATTTTAACTCAATCTGACCAGAAAGAGTTTACTTGCCAATAGTTGGAACTACAACAGGTGAACTGATTTGTCTGTCACATACAAGTACAGTCAAAAGTTAGTCAATTCGCTGCTCTCAGCTTTTTGTTGAGAATCAAATTCCTAAACAGAACCATGAACACTCGTATTGATCACAGGCCTGAAAATGTCTATGTTGTATTTTTTCTTGAGTTTTCAGACTAGATCATAAAACATTCTGACAGGGTTTCCTAATGTGTGCATTGTGTCTCTATGGTAGCTTCTGAACATTTTATCATAGGTATGCATGCAGAACACCCCCACCCCAGCATGATGCAAATATTGACGGATTGTTTATCAGTTGGTGACACAATGCACACATTCGCAATATCTACCAAAAAGTGTTTAGATAGTCTGAAAACTCAAGAAAAAAAACAAAACATGGATTTAAACGAAACATTTTTAGGCCTGTGATCAAAACGAGCAAAACTGTTGGCTAATGTTACAGAGCTTGCGGCTGTTATTATGTTATTTGTGAGACACTTGTTTACCAGCACAAATCAGCTCATGTGTTGTCACTGTAAGTCAATTCTTTCTGGTCAGATTTTGTTAAATAAAGCTCAGATTAAAGTCTAACAAAGCCTCAGACAGAGCAGTGCCTCAAGTTAGCATCACACCCCCAGGGAATGTTAACGACATCAGCGGCAAAGATTTCTTGGGGATTATCAGAATAGATCTCTGCTACAAATCTATACATTTATATAATTATATATTTATAGGCTGCCCATCGGCCATCTCCACAGGTTAACCACCAGTTCTGCTTTCTCATTTCTCATATTGCTTATTCAACTTACTTTAAAGGTACATTACGTAACTTTTCTGGTGGAGCCTTCGTCGCCTGCTTGTTTCTGTGGATTTCTGTGTCATTGCTTTGCCTGGAATGTTCCACAGTATGACATTAAACAGCTCTACCTTATATTTATTCAGTTACAGGTGGTTTTATTGCTCAGAAAAAAAAACAAAAATAAAAAAAACTGGCATTCTGAGCGAGGTTACCTCTCTCCACAGATCTGACCTGTAACTTAAGGTTTAATATCATACAGTGAAACATTCCAGACAAAGCAATAACATCACCATGGAGACAAGCATTTGCTGGGTTACACGATGCACCTTTAATCCAAACAATGTCTCTTTCAAAATAAAACATAGTGAATTTTTCTGAAAACCTCCTGTCCTACTGAATCCCTGTACTCCGGTGCTTTAGTCTAACAATATTGCTGATTTTAAAGGTGATTTGTGGAGAAAAAAAAAAAATTATACACAGAATATTCAAAGTTTTACAATTTGTCCTGAGCAGCGCGTCAGTTAAAACCCATATTTGGAAACAGCAGGTCATGTGATTCAGACGCTGAACACTGATTGGCTACTGGACTTCAGGATGAAAAATACTGCGAAAATTGGATAACTCTAAACTTAAAAGCACTCCATGTCCACTCTAGAGAGGCACTGCTCCAATTAATAAATGACAAATATGTTATAATTTGAAAAAAAAAAAAAGTTAAATCTGTCAAAACTTTTATTCATTTATTTTATTTTTGTCACCATCTTCTGCGTAAACTATTAACGAAGATATAGACCCTTTAAAATCCTGCATCATCAGAATGTTCAAAATTCTGAAATGGAGGTGACTGGAGGCAAAGCGAAGCAGCTATAACATTTTCAATAATAAACTGGTCTAAATGCAAACAGTTTTACGACATTATAACACAAAATAAACAGCAATTTTGAATTTCCACGGTACAAATATTAGAGTTAATTTGCTGGTCTGTTAAGAAGGATGGCGTCTGAACCTCAAAATTGTATTTCAGCTTCAATATAATTTATGGTGAAATGTGTACCGTATTTTAAAGGCTATTAGGCGCTCTGGATTATAAGACGCACTGTCATGGAATGGTCTATTTTCGAACTTTTTCCACAAATAAACAGCATTGGACTTTAAACGAAACACAACAGTTGGATGGATCAGTGGGACTTTGTCTCTGGGCTTTGTTCAGTTGTGGCGTGTAGGGAGGGTGCTGTCTGGGACCGCTGGATTGTCGGCGTGTTCGCAATGACTCAGTTGTTCAGTTGTGGCTCAGAAAGGCACATTGCACTCGCTTTTTCGGTTCATTCCTTCGTTCCGTTCCTCGTCGGTGTGGAGTGATGAGTGTGGCTGCAGGTGTGTTTCGCTGTGCGGTTGCTGTCTGCTCCGTGCGTGTTTGCGTGCGCTGTGGGCGGTGCGGCTTTGTAGTTTACTGAAGTCGTGCTGGAACGTGGAGTTGTGTATAGGGCGCTCTGGATTGTGGGGCGCGCGGTCGTTTTTTGATGCGGTTAGAGGCTTAAGAGCGCGTCTAATAGCCCGGAAAATACGGTAATATATTTGTAGATGAAGGGGCAAACAGTAGTGGGTTTATCTAGAATTTATCCAGTAAAATATGAAGATTCTGGAGTTTTCCTTTGTCAGAAATGCAAAGTTTTTATCATAATGTCTCATCAGTAAAACACAATTGTAAATGTTTTTAAACTGGGCTCAAACCACTTGAACATGTATCTGAGTGGTTTTCATTTGCCGATCTTCCTTTGTATTTCTATATTTTGAGATATCCTGTGATTAATATCAGTTTTCCCATTGAAATCACATCATGTTCCACTTCACTTTTGCCTCCAGTTGGCTCCATTCTGGAATTTACAATGCTTTTAAAGCGGTCTATAGTTTAGTGGTTTAGTTTTGAGAATTTTCATTTTATATTTTTCGTATATATCTGAGCAAAATTTGTCAGCACAGACATATTGTATAAGGAGCTTTAGAGGTCAAAACTCCAAAAAGCACTTATAAACTCACTGTGGTGAATAAATGAACAAAAAATGATGCTCTGAATGCAGAAGGTAAGTGAGGAATAACTCTGGAGCACTGCAAACTATTTAAAAATGAACTGTGTAGCACCAATGTTCAAATTATCTCATCTTAACTAGAGATGAAATGATCAATGTCTTTTTTGTGATAAAGTAAAAGAGAACTGAAGTGCATTATGTAACTTATGATGCGTCACCTGCTTGTTTCCATGGAGATATTATCGCTTTGCCTGAAATGTTCCATAGTATGACATTAGATCCATCTTGCATTTTTTCAATTACAGGTGTTTTATATTACTAAAAACATCGTGAAAGACTCTGAATATACTCTAAGTGTGAGCAGGGTTGTCTCCACCACAAATCTGACCTGTAACTTTGGCCTTGTGCTTGCAGTATTGTGTAACATTGAAGGCAGATCAATAACATCTCCATGGAAACGATCAACTGGAGGACACAGAAAAGTCACACAATGCACCTTTAAAATGGACTTGTGTTTCTACAGCACTGCTCAGGCCAAATTCCATCTGTTGCATAAATGTGAGTTAGTATGAAGTGCACTTAGTATAAAAACACCTTAAAAACATTTGGAAACTTTAGTTAAAAAATTAGCTGCAGATCTGTTAGCATG